AGAAAGTGCCAAAAGTGTCAAATACTCAAGTAAAAATACTTCAGAGTAAAATACTTCTATACCTGGAAGTAAGACGGTAGTACTATTTTGAAGCTTTCAAAACTTTTGTAAGTGATAGAATTAATCTAAGTAAGTAAATACAATGTCATGAAAGTTCCTGTGTAAGTCCAGAAGGGAAAAGCACTCAAATGGTATACCACCTAACTAAAAAAAAAAAATCATCCATCAACTCTGGGGCTGAAGCTCAGCACGAGAGACAGGGTACACTGTGGACAGGTTGGCAGTCTGTCGCAGGGCTAAACAATCCAGGAAAAAAAAAATCAGCGAATAACAATCTATTTTCCACTTTTAGACTGCAAGAGCTCTTCAGCTAACAATCTATGAATTTTAAACCAAAAAACAAACAAAAGATTATATCTCTATTTTCCACATTTCCTGGCCAAGCTACATAGCCCTGTAGTGGAGCGAGCAGCCAAAATATTAAACTCACTCTGTTATGTACAAGTTACAAAAAGACTCAGTTATAACTGTGTTATAATTCAGTGCAGCATCCTAGTTTGTTTTGACAGCAGTCTGTAAGTGTCTGGGAACTGTAGAGACCAGCTGCTGGACTTCTGCGAGAGGAATTCTTGCCTGTTTTGGGACTCTAGTTGCTCAACTGTCCAGGGTCTTTGTAATACTTTTCATTTCATAATGGTCCAAATGTTTTCAGTTGGTGAAAGGCCAGGGCTGCAGGCAGGTCAGTTCAGTAAACAGATTTTTCCACAAAGTCATACTATTGTGACAAAAAAAATACTTCATCTGGAAGGGAGTATATGTTGCTCTAAAAGCTCTAAAACATACCTTTCAGCACAGCTGGGGCCTTACAAGGCATACAAGCTGCCAATTTCATGTATCCACATACCATCAGTTATGCATTCAATGTTACATTTTGTATTAAACGTGGGACATTGTCTAGCTTTAGACATATGATATATTTTCTGTGTTCTATTGTGGATAAAATATAGGTTAATGAGATTTGCAAATCATTACAATCTGTTTTTATGTTTTACAGCATCCTATTTTGTTGATTTTCTGTATATGTATATGTGAGTTTTTCACATGGTGCCAAAAACGGTGTACTTTAGTAAACAATATATGCAAAAGCTTTGTTTCATAGCCTTAAATCCTCGACCACTTCGTCTACGCAAAATATTTTATCTAATATAAGATGAAATACACAGTTGTGTATATCAAGGGTGTAGATTTGGTTTTGGCATTGGTGGGGACGGATGATTCAACCACCGAACACTGCCCCGTTTCTTTTCTTCTTTTTCCTTATCGTCTTTGCGTCTTGATAAAAAAAGGAGAAATATACTTGCCTACATATGCTATTTTACATGCTTTTAAACCATTTAAAATTTCAATTCATAGTTTTATATGTGAATTAGTTCAGTTCATTTTTATTTTAAACATGTACATTCACAATCATTACAAAATATCATTCCAGTTTTTTGTTTGAAAAGGAGTAGACAGAAGTATACACTTATTTGTCCCGACCCCTCTCATTAATTTAATTTAATTTTAGTCTTAAATTAAACAAAAATATGAATATGAATTATATAATGTAAAATTACTATTAAACAAACGACTAAGTATTTTAGACTTTAGTTTACTTCAGCCATATTCCATATAAATCAGGTATCATACAAAAATAAAATTAGCTTCAAATACAGTAATGACCCACCAAGTCATCATCCAATTTCACCTGTGATCTTGTGTCACCATTGCTCTCTGAGCTTTGTGTTGGTTCTTCTGTCACCTGACAAATAGGACATACATGACAATAAGAATAAAATGTGTAGCTGCTTCAGTGTTTCTGTCAATTTGTGCAAAAATACTTTCTTATATCTATGTTGTTCCTTTTCCTGCCATCCTCCTCTCCTCCTTGCAGGTCCTTGCAGCGCAGGCTTGCCGCTGCTAAAACTAAACAGAGCTCCCTGAAAGGCACAGCCAATCACATTGGCCATATTTGTCACATGAGGTAGGACTCCAGGAGAGAACGTAATTTAACTCTTTCTGCACCGCTAGGTGAATGAGACGTTGACAGATCGTTTTTTTTTCTTTCTGCCGGTTTTGTTTTTCTTTACTTGAAGCGATTAAATTATTGGTGGGGACAATTCAATAATCGCTGGATACTGGTGGGGACATGTCCCTCCCGTCCATGCCAAATCTACGCCCTTGGTATAAATTATTGTTATATTGTTATATTGTTATTGTATATATTGTTCTTAATTATTTGTAACTTTTTTAAAAATTACAAAACAGTAGAAATTCGCATAAATCTAAACACTATGCATAAATTAATAAGCGTAAGTTAAACACATTGAATATTTTTGACATATTACAAAACGAATAAAAAAATGAAATAGTTGACTATGGCGACAACTAGCGGTTAAATATATATAGTACAGCTGTACAAAAAGTATTATCTAAATAGGGGATTGCCTGAGAGCAGCCATTTAAACAGTCCCAGCTATAGAAGATTTACAATACAAACCCAGAGGCTTTTTCCTTGGAAACTGAAAGAAACCTATGAGATATTCTTAATATATTGCTAAAAAAAACCCTTTAAGATTAGCAGTGTAATGAAGGAATAGTTTGATTCAGCGGTTTTGCTACTTAAGGGCCTAGGAAGCAATTTTCCGTCTTTCCGAGAATCTAAAGAGTCATACTGAAAACAGATGTATGTGTCAGTCAAGATGTACATAAAATGGCCTGTATTTGTATAGCGCTTTTCTAGTCCCTAGGCACAAATGTTTTCATTTAGGCCTTTGTGGATTAAAATATTAAAGTGGAATTAAATACTGAGCACAGTCAATAGTAACGAATAAATACTCTTTAAGATTCATCACCGAGGGGAAAAGATGGGGCTGGAAAAAATAGTTCACCTTCTGTCTGTGAAGCATGACGATCCCTACCTTTTGGTGTTCCTTTATTCATGTTTTGTTTTCTGTGCATATCGCGTTTCTTTATAATTTTCTAATGAATAGCACGCCAAGAATTGACAGAGAAAGTTGCATTGATTTCCGATTTCATATCTGTTAAGTGATGTAAGCTCCAGCTATTCCAGTTACATCAAGGCTGTAATGAAAAACCAGAACTGCCGCCATCTGGGGCGAAATGATGCGAGTATGCAGATTAAAAGAAAAAACTCACCTCAACATGTGCCTCCATCAATATATTCCGCATAAAAGATGAAAAAAAATCCATCCATATATGAATTAAAACTCGAGTGGATTTGAGCAAAGAATGAAGCAGTTAGCTTGTGTGTTCGGTTTCACTTTTACTTTGCTCGGCCCTTCAGGCACAATTCCTACGCAAGACTTACCAGTAACTCCCATTTGCGTTCATCGCTGTGGTCAGTTTTGTTCTTGCAGCTTCCCGAATCCAGCTTCTTATATACAAACAGTCCAGTCGATATGAATTATTTTTACGTTTTGTAATAAAATGTAAAACAATTACACTGGTTTACATTTAAATCGTGCCGTCGCATCTGAATTGAAAGCGAAATGCTGGCGGACTTTCCCCGGAAACTGATGACGCTTCAAAAAAAAAAAAAAAACACGCTTATTTAAAAAACGCATAAAACTCTAGCCAACACCGCGGCCTTTTAAAAGACGCGCACAAAATAATTAATTAGCAGTTAACTAATTATTGCATGTCAACGATGAAATGTGTCAACAAAAATATGTACAAGCATCTTGCATCACACACTGTGTCCTCACACAGCCCCAGGTAGCGTAGGCGTCTCATTGTCGCAGTAATAATAGCCTACTGCTGCGACACCAAGGTTTCCTGGATCTTTTGTTTTTGTTCGTTGCCTCCAAGCGCTGGTGAAAGCACGCACATTTTTTATGTCTTATTCAGAGATACCTATGTATTATCTGATTATAGTGAGGGTGAATTAAAATGATACTTTATTAAATATCCATGTCCCTGTTCACACTGCTCTTACCCGTGGAACCTAAATTATTAAAAATAGTAAAATAGACTCATCTTAGTCTAGGTGGCGTTGTCTTTAGGTAGCAAAAAAATTCAACCAGTTATCCCACCCATTTACCACAATTAAATAGTTCGTACAGGGTCCAGAGAGACAGAATATTAGCACTATTTTTCTGTCATCACAAAAACGGAATTGAAAGAAAGGTCATACAGAAGTTGGGGAAACTATTTATTACATCACAGAAAGCTCAGCTTTTTTGTGCAGATGTAAAACGCAGTGAATAATAATAATAATAATAATAATAATAATAATTATTATTATTATTAAAAAAAAAAAAAAGGATACACCAGTGATGCTTTGTGTTCATTTCATCTCCTCCTGCATTACCAGGTCTACCCAGCAGAAGTCCTCCAAATCACCTCTCCTCTCTGCCTAGCTCAGGTTCAGCTGTCTAAATACAGCTTTTGGCACCACAACAGCACCTTAAGTAATGTTTTACCCACCAGAGCAGTCAGTTGTACAGTAGGAGGATTTAAGCCATGGCAAAAGACATTTTAGAGTGATTAAAATCAGGCAACTCAAAGGATAGAAGCAGCTGGAAGAATTTCAGTAGGTGAATAGTGTTACCTGTCAGCAATATTGCATTTAAGCATTGCTTTAAATAAGGTTTGTGCACATTCATTTATGCAGAGCTGTCTCTGAGATCCAGAAACACCATTTTAATCAGGTCGAGGTCTGGACATTGACCCGGTAATTGCAACACCTTCATTCTTTTGATGTGTTACTAAATAGAAGAAGCTTTCTCCTGGGCCTCCACATGAGGGAGTAATGCAGTGATGATTCTAAGGGCTTTATATGTATACTAAATCATTTTTTCTGTATCAGTTGACTTGTTTCCAGGAGAAATAAAGAGATTGAACCTTTGGCTCAGGCTTGGCTGTCCCCATACTGACACTCCTAACACGCAACCCCACTGATATCTGAAGAAGGTGGGGAGTTCTTTTATGTCAAAAATGTGTGTAACTGTAGAAACCACACCGCCAGGAAATGTATTTTAATTCTAAACTATTTATTTTGTAATAACACGTTACCATTATTTGCCACATAGACAGAGGATTTTGGAGAAGTGTGCATTGTGCTGCATATTCTGCACGCTGCCTGTTGCAGGTGGTGAGAGATGTATTTGAAGTCCATTGGGACTCAGGATGGAGACATATCTGAATGCTCCACACCAGCAAATTTCCTAAATTTCTAGAGGTGGCTACATCTGCTGATGACAAGAAACATCACAATAACACAAGTAAGCTAAACAAACAAATACAGTACCGTTACAAAATAGTTCAAAATAAAAGACATAAAACACAAAAATACTGAAAAGAAGGTTTAAAATGTATAACATGCTGTTTAACTGCAGAACGTCATGCTGCTTCATGATGTTCTGCAGCAATTGAATATCTGAAAAACAAAAAACAACAAACAAACCAAAAAATAAAAACATAGAGAAGCCAAACTATAATTTAGATTCTTTGAGCTGGCAAACAGATGGAGTCGCTTCATTTTCAGCCTCCTTTTCCTTTTCTCCTTTTCTCCTGCTAGAACAACAA